GGGGAAAGGGAATGGGCAAGGGCAAGGGGCAAGGAGTGAAGGGTAAGGAAAGAAAACCAAGTGGATGGAGAAAAGAAATGAAGGGGATTTGGATGGTTTTAAAATTCATAGTCATTATCAATGTCATGATCATCGTCGTTATTAGCGTGTCATACGCCCTTAAGAGATATTATGCTACTGTTTTTGTCTTCTCTGATCTTTTATCAAATAATGAGGGGCTTTGGGGAACACCGGGAGGGGGGGGAGAGAGGAGGGGGGAGGGGAGGGGAGAGGGTTAGAATTCGTTGTAGATCTAGACTCGTATGGAATTGGCATAGATCATGAATAACGTCTTCGCTGTTCGTAAGAAGGAAGCTAAATGTCCTTTCTCGAGAACGAAATAAGATCGCAAAAAATAATTGACGGTCGCTAACCAAAGACTTTTTTCCCCCCCCCCCCCCTCTCTCTCTCTCTGTCTCTCTCTGTCTGTCTGATGTCTCTCTCTCTCTCTCTCTCTCTTCTCTCTCTCTCTCTCTTCTCTCTTCTCTCTCTCTCTCTCTCTCTTCTCTCTCTCTCTCTCTCTCTCTCTCTCTCTCTCTCTCTCTCTCTCCCTCCTCTTTCTCCCTCTCCCTTCCTCTCCCTCTCCCTTCCCCCTCTCTCTCTCTATCAATCTATCTATCTATCTCTCCCTCTCCCTTCCTCTCCCTCTTTCTTCCTTCCTCTCCCCCCCCTCTCTCTATCTCCCTATCTCTCAATCTATCTTCCTTATCTATCTATCTTCCCTTCTCCTCCCCGACCGCAGAAACTCGGACATCTCGCAGCTGAAGGAGCAGCTGTTCAACGACCTGCCCTCCAGCACCTCCCGGGAGCGGCGCCCCCCGGAGACGGCCACCAACACCATCCGACGGTCAGGCACCAAGAAGCGAAGCGCCCCACAGCCCCCTAAGTAAGGCAGCTTCTGAGTTTTGTTGTTTTCTCTTAGGGTTATTATTGTTATTATTATTGTTATTATTATTATCATTTTTATTATCATTTATTATTACCCTCTTAGGGTGATGGTAATGGTGGTTGTTGTGATGATGGTGGTGGTGATTGTGGTTGTTGTGATGATGGTGGTGGTGGTTGATAGGTGATTTTGGGTGTGTGTTTTAATCGTCTTTTTTTCTCTCTCTCTTTCCCCTACCCAATTTCTATTTTTTTTTTTTTTTTTACCTTTCCTCTCTCCTATCCTCTATTTTTTGTCTTTTCTTTCAACCCCCTCTCTCTTTCCCTCCCCCTCCCTCCTCTTTCCTCCCTCCCATCTTCTTCCCTTTCCCCCCACCCATCCTTCCCCCCTTTCCCCCATCCATCTCTATCTTCCCCCCCTTTCCCCCTCCCCTCATCCCCCCTTCACTCCCACCCCTCCCTTTCCCCCACCCCTCTCTATCTTCCCCTCTCCCCTCCTTCCCCCCTCCCTACCCCCCCCTCTTTCCCTTCCCCCCATAGGACCCCCCGAGCGCAGCCGACCCTGGACCAGCAGCACAGCACGGACGACCTGAGCCACCTGTCCATCCGGGACCCGTCGCAGCTGGTGGTGGGCGTCCCCAACACGGCGCTGACCACCACCTGGCGCCACCACCCCAACGCCCTCGTGTCCTCCAGCGTGCAGTACGTGGCGCAGGTGAGTGGAGGGCGGGGAGGGAAGGGAAGGGGTTTGAGGGAGGGGGGGGTGAGGGGGGTTATTTGTTATTGGTTAATTGTTTTGTGGATTTATGTGTTTATTTAATTTGATTGTTTAGTTGTTTGTTGTTTGTTTGTTTTATTTTTGTTTGTTTATTTATTTGTTTATTTATTTTATTTATTTATTTATTTGTTTATTTTATTATTCATTTTATCTATTTAATTAATTTATTGTTTTTGTTTATTTATTTGTATTTATTTATTTATTTTTTATTTTTTTTTTTTTTAAAAGATTCTGTTCAATTGTTTTGATGTTTTTGTTTGTTTGTTTTATGGATTTTTTTGTTTATTTATTTGTTTTGTTCACTTCATCGTGCATTTACTCATTTTTTTTTATTATTTTTATTATTATTATTATTATTATTGTTATTATTATTATTATTATTATTATTATTATTATTATTATTTATTATTATTATTATTATTATATTATTATTATTATTATTATTATTGTTATTATATATTGTTATTATTTATTATATTGTCACTGATTTTTTATATCATTTTATTATTATTATCACTATTATTATTTTTATTATTATTTATTATTATCATTATAATTATTTAATTGCTATCATTATTATTATTATTATTATTATTATTATATTATTATTATTATTATTATCACTATTTATTAAGATAAAGATTAACACCCATTATTAACCTATTCCGTAGAATCATTTTTATAACACACACGAGCATCCTCCACTCTCTGTCCATCCATCCATTTATCCACGCTCTCCCACCTTCCCTCTCCTCCCTCCTTTCCCTCCCTCCCTCCCTCCATCCCTCCCTCCCTCCCCCCCTCTCCCTCCCTCCCTCCATCTACCCCTCCCTCCCTCCACCCCACTTATCCACCCACTAATCCATTCTCTTCTCTCCTTCTCCCCCCCCCCCGCCCCCCTCAGTACCTGGGCTCGACGCACGTGAAGGAGCTGAAGGGGACGGAGTCGACCATGAAGTCCATCCAGAAGCTGAAGAAGTCGACGGCGGAGGGGGCGAAGGTCCCCAAGATCGTGCTGTCGGTGTCCTATCGGGGGGTCAAGTTCATCGACGCCCAGACGCAGGTGAGGAGGTGGGGTTGGGTGAGGGGGGGGGGGGGGGGGTTGGGTGTGGGTGTTGGGAGGTAAGGGGTAGGTGAGGGGGTGGGGGGGAGGTGGGAGTGAGGGGGCTTGGGGACTTCGAGGTGGAGGTAGGGGGTGGGGCGTATGGTAGGGTGGTAGTTTTTTGTTCTTTTTTTTTTCTTTCTTTTTTTTTTTTTCTTTTTTTCTTTATTTTTTTCTTTCCTTTCCTTTTTTTTTTCTTTTCTTGGTATTTTTTCCCCTTTTTCTCTTTTCTTTTCTTCTTTCTTTCATTTTTTTCCTTCTTTCTTTCTTTCATTATTTTTCCTTCTTTCTTTCTTTCATTATTTTTCCTTCTCTTTCTTCCTTTCTTTCTATCTTGTTTTTTTGTTCTATATGTTTCTTTCCTTTTTTTTTCTTTCTTTCTTTCTATGTTTTTATAAGGGATGCTATATTTAAGATATTTTGTAGTTTGGTTTTGCAATTATGATGTTTGTGTAGGTGTGTTTATGGATATATATATATATATATATATATATATATATATATATATATATATATATATATATATATATATATATATATATATGTATATATATATATATATATATGTGTGTGTGTGTGTGTGTGTGTGTGTGTGTGTGTGTGTGTGTGTGTGTGTGTGTGTGTGTGTGTGTGTGTGTGTGTGTGTGTGTGTGCATGCTATACATATGCAGACATACATACACACAAAACGACATTCGTTTTCCAATATTTGTTCTAACCGACACTTCCCTCTCTCCCTCTCCTCCCCCCTTTCCTCCTTCCCCTTCCCTCTACCTCTTTTCCCCCTATTCCTTCTTCCCCGCACCTCTCCCCTCCCCTATTCCTCCTCCTTCCATTCATTTTTCTCCCCCATTCACGCCCTTGCCTTCCCCTCTTTCCTTTATTCTTCCTCCCCATCATTCCACCCCTTCCTCTTCCCCCCTCTCCCTCCCCCTTTTTCTCCCCCCATTCTCTCCTCCCATTTCTTTTCCCCTTTTTCTTCCACCATTCCTTCCCCGAATTTTATCCCCCCTCCCCCATTCCTCGTATCATTCCTCCTCCCTCTTCTCCTTTTACCCTCTTCCTCCTCCTGCCTCCCATTCCCTTCTCCCTCCATTTCTTCCCCCATTCTCCTATCATCCCCCTCTCTCCCCGCCTCCCTCCCCCCTCCCCCCTCCCATTTCTCCCCTCCTCCCCACTTCTCCCCCCTCTTCATCCCTCCTACCCCCATTTCTCCCCCATCCCCCAACTTCTCCCATCCCCCTCCCATTTTCCCCCTACTCCCCTGCCCCCTCCCATTTCTCCCCCTCTTCCTCCCTCCTACCCCCATTTTCTCCCCCTCCTCCTTCCACTTCCCCCCCTCCTCCTCCACTTTCCCCCCCCATTCCCCATCCCCCCATCTCCCCCAACCCCTCCACTTCTCTCCCCCCCACACCCCCATTTCTCCCCCCCCACAGGCGCTGGTGTGCGAGCACGAGATCCGCAACATCCACTGCGCCTGCCAGGACGCCGACGACCTCTCCCACTTCGCCTACATCACCAAAAGACCTGGAAACCAAAGGACACTACTGCCACGTCTTCAGAGTACAATCCAGGGTGAGTTGGGAGGGTGAGAGAAGGGGGGGGGTGGGAAGGGTTGGGTGGGGGTGGGGTAGGTGAGAGGGGTGGTGGTGGGTGGGAGGGTGGTGGGAAGGGTGGGTGGATGGGTGGTTGGGGGGTGGGGTGGTGGGGGAGTAGTTGATGAAGAGTACAATCCAGGGTGAGTGAGTTGCGGAGGGTGAGAGGGGTGGGAAGGTGGGTGAGTGGTGGGGGAGTAGTTAATGTATGAAATGGTGTTGAAAGGGAAATGAATGAAAGTTAATCAAAATGAATGGAAATGGGAATGAAGTGAAATCAAAATGAATGAAAATTAATCAAAATGAATGAAAATTAATCAGAATGAATGAAAATGAAATGAAATGAAATCAAGGTGAATGAAAACTAAATGAAATGAAATCAAAATGAATGAAAAAGATAGTGATAGTTGGTGAAGTAATTTTAGTAGTAGTAGTAGTAGTAGTAGTAGTAGTAGTAGAAGTAGTAATGTTATTGGTAACGATAAAAGCAGTAATGTTAATGACTAAGAAGTGTTGTTAGTAATTTGCAGAGGTTCGCATGAGAGAATTAGATTAGAATTATTATAATTAAATTAATTAATTAGACTAGAATTAGAATTAGATAGAATTATGATCAGATGCTGTGTCTTTAGTCTTCAGAATATCGACGCCTCTGTCTTTGCTCAAGAAGCTGTCGAATCATTGGCATAACTTGCAACGAGTAGTAGTCATCCATCACTGTGATTTTCAACTACAACAACAACAAAAAATACACCGATTTTTGTTTTTTCTTCTTCTTTTTTATTCGCAACCAAAATATGACACCAAGGAATCGATTTCGCATCCTTCAAAATATCGTAAAAAGTACAATCAAAAATATACATACGCACACACACATGCACACGCACACACACACACACACACACAAACACAAACACAAACACAAACACAAACACAAACACAAACACACACACACACACACACACACACACGCCACACGCACACGCACACGCACACGCACACGCACACGCACACGCACACGCACACCACACACACACACACACACACACCACACACACACACACACACACACACAACACACACACACACACACACGCGCACACACACACACACACACACACACACACACACACACACACACACACCACACACACACACACACACACACACACACACACACACACACACACACACACACAACACAACACAAACACAAAACAAACAAACAAACACACACACACACTAAAACAGCCTTCAACATCCTTTCCTTAATCCCGCCACGAAGTCCACGAACCCCGCCACTAACCCCGCCCCTTCCCTGCAGGAGTTGGCCACCGAGATCATCCTGACGCTGGGGGAGGCGTTCGAGGTGGCCTACCAGCTGGCCCTCAGAGAGCAGCCCTACGCCAACCAGTCGGACGAACAGAAGCTCGCCCACGGCCACACCAGGTCCAAGTCAGAGCACCTGCGCGGCAACAAGTCCCTCTCGAATGGGTCTTCGCACACGAGGTATGGGTTTGGGGTTGGGGTGGGGTTGGGGTTGGGGTTGGGGGTTGGGGTGGGGATGGCTTGTCCCCTTTTTTTGGGGAGGGTGGGGGTGGATTTTTGGGTTCGTGAAATATTTTTTGTTTATTTTTTCTGTCGTAGTAATGTTGATAGCTATTGTGTTTTTTTTCTTTTTTTTTTTTTTTTTTGTCTGGAATATGATGATGAATTGGGTTTGTGAAAAATGATTTTTGTTATTATTTTCTATCGTAGTAATTTTGATAGCTATTATTATTATTATTACTATTTTGTCTTTTCTTGAATATGATGACGAAATTTTTGTTTTTATATATTTTTTTTCTTCTCTTTCAGTCTTGAAATATGAAAGTTTGCCAGATGTAGAGCTCCTTAAAAAAACAAAAAACAAAACCAAAAAACCAAACTCAGCCGTGCATGAAACATTCACCCCGAATGTTTTTCTGCCGCAGATCACATTCCACGGTGCCCCAGCAGATGTCGGTGGGCGGGGTGTCGAGCAGTTCCGCCGAGAACCTGCTCTCCGACTCCGGCAACGGCTCGGAGAAGGAGAACGGATCGAGAAGGGACTCGTTGAGCTCAAGTCAGACTCAGATGAACGGGTCGTAGGTCCTTGTCGAGAGGTGGAGGAGGAGGAAGGGAAGGAGGAGGAGGAGGAGGAGGAGGACGAGGACGACGCGGGTCAGTCAGTCAGTCAGTCGAGTCAGTCAGTTCAGTCAGTCAGTTCGGTCAGAGTCAGTGTGCTCGCGTCGCCGAAGCCTTCGATTTTCTTTTGTGCAACTTTTGAGATTAACTGTCAGGGTTTCGATCTGCTCAAAGGTGGCCGGAGGGGGGGGTGGGGGCTGGCGAGGAGGCACCTGAGTGACCTTCGCAGAGGCTAAGCGGTTGGTTTAGATTAACGAAATGAAGACATTCCTGTATCATATACACATTTGTTTAATCAGTATAGTGTTCTTCTTTGTGCATGGATTAGCAGTTTCTGCAACACAGTTTTCAACCAACCCCTGTATCATCTTTATAGAGAAATTTGTTTTATACATGCCCCTATATCTTGTTACTGGGCTACAGTGTAAAGCCAAGAGACTTCAGGTAAAACCCTTTTGGAGTAGCCAGTCTGTGACTCTTGTTTGAAGTATATGCCATTCTTTTATCATTTTTGTGAAAACCTTTTTAAGATTTGGAAAGCTGAAAAGTTCCATACAATCCTGGTGTATTCAAAGTGCTTAGACTCTTAAAAGATGTGCTCCAATTTTACTTGTCGATATCGTATTGAGAGTGTATAGCCACGGCAGTATTGTTTGGGTAGCCTCACACCTCTATAAGTGAAAAGTGCAAGTAGACTTACTTGTAAAGGAAACCCAAGAAAAAGAAGCATGACGACAAGTAGTGTGAAGTCATGTCATGCCATGCATCAGGAGTATAAGAAACAACTCTATTGCCTGGTTTAAGGTGTGTCAACTGGGCCCGTGGATTTACCGACACGTAGAACGGAAGATAGCAGAAACAATCTTCAAAAATAAAGGTCTGGGGGAAATATATTCGGAAACATGTACCCCAAGAAATCTCCCAAGAAAAAAAAACAAAACGAGATTATACGATTCTCGAAAAGGTGTTGCAGAGATAGAAAGAGAGATAGACGCGCGAGTATTCCGAGAACGCACGAACTAGTAGCCTTGTATTGAAGCCTTGTGTGGTGGGGGGTGGGGCAGACGCCATTCAAGGACCCCTGGGCTTCAGAGCCAGTGACTGAAACGGCACATTGTATAAGGCTATAAGGACTGTCAGGATGTCGTTGGCCCCTAGAAGCCTGCACAAGTTGTCTTTCACAGAGTGTCAAATATTTATATGTTCATTGTTAATTGGAATCGAGAAGTGATGTGATTGAAGTGTGGTGGTCTTCTTGTACTAGGATGTTTATGGTATATATATATTTTTTTTCATTTTCACTGACCATATCTAATTTTGTAAGTTAGTTACACGTTATATGTTCATTCCATTATATTTTGTCTGTTTTTTTTTTCTCTGACAGTGATTTAGGTATAGACTGGCGATACCAATTGTAGAATGCCAGTCAGTTTGTTGACTTTTTTGTGTATATAATTATTGTTTGTTTTCTTGTCAATTTGCCATAAAGATATTTATCTTGTGTTATGTTATCTACATTTTTTTCTCTAGTACTCTTTGGCATCCGAGCATGGTTCTTCAATACTTCCTCAGGTTCTGAGTTTGAATAATGTACTAAATATTTCTTTAGTATAGCAAATGCAAATATGATGTACATAGAGAGTGGTATTGAGTATGGTATTCGTGTGTGTATGTTGTGTGAGTTTTATGTATGAGACACAGAGAGATTAAGAGAAAGGAAGAGATTGGTACGTGTGTGTATGTTGAGTGTGTGTGTGTGTCTGTACTTCTGTTGTACATGTTTGTGCGCATGTGCATGTGTATTCAGATTATAGGATATAAGCTTGTATTGACAAATGGTTCTGCCTGAAGTGGCACTATGTAGGAAGTGTAATGAGAACAGACCACGTACATAGAATTTACTATACTTTAGTATAAAGAATAGTATAAAGAAATGTATTAGTTTTAAATAATCAATTTATCTTCTCATTGTGATCATAGGCCTATAAACGGTAAATAATAGGTATCCTCTAAGGGCATGTAAGTGATAATAGAATAAAGAAATTTAAACACCCATCTTCATTTTGGGTTCGATGAGGGAGACGAGAAGAAAAAAGACGAAAAAAAGAAATGAGATAACCAGGATGAAGAAGAAAAGTATTTTATGTCAAGCCTTTTTGCGGTGCTTGGTGGCTGAGCACATATAACTGCACATATAGGTTGTTTGCACCGTTGCTATTAGTACATGTTTAAAATGTTGCATGAGAGTAATTCCGCCAATGCCTGTTCTCCTATTTCGAATATTTTTTAGTTCCCATTTTTTTGTTTTTTTGTTTTTTTTTATAAAGCTTTGCTGCTTTTAACCAGTTTATAATTGGCAGTGGGAAGTCAGTGAGTGTTTTTTAAGAATATTTAAATGTTTCGTCTTTGTGAGGTATAAACACTTGTTATTTGAAGATATTTCTCAAAACTCCGAAAATCATTAAAAAAAAAACAAAAAATCGTAAGTCAACGTGTATTATTTTAAAGAAAAAAAATATTCATTCATATGAACTCACCGCATTGGATCCAACAGTATTTACTTTTCTTATAAATACTGGACCGATCGAATATTTAAATTAAAATAAAAAGGATAGTCTTTATTCCCACCCAAGAAACGAGAATAATTCAAATTGAAGAAGACCTGATGACGTCACACTCCTCACTCCTCGTGCTCCAGAGTGCGTTGTGGTTGGAGGAGGACGTCCAGGTTCAAGCTCTGACTCAGAAGCATCACCCCCCCCCACCCCGATTGTTTTCGAGAAAGACAGGGGAGGACTTGACTCACAATCATTACCGGTTCTCTGTCTCCCCAATCCCCTTATCCAATCCATACCCACTTGTCCTCATCCCCCAATCCATTCCCCACCTCCTCCTCCCCAGTAGCTCCTGAGATTACTCCAGTTAGCCCCCAACTCCACAGGTCTGAGGTTGCTTGTGCTTTTCCCCTCTCCATTCCATATTCCTAGTTTCCATAGATGATAATACCCCCCTCTCTAAAAAAAACCTATTGCCGTTGGTACTGCCTCCCCGCCCTCTCCCCCCCCTCCCTATTCCTCTTGCCTTCTCCTTGTCCTCTCTCCCATCCCTCTCGGCTTCCCCATGCCCCTCTCGCCCCCCCCCCCCTCTCCCTGTATCCCATTCGTCCTCCCTCACCCCCCCTTTCCCCCCCTACCCTTGCCCCTCACGCCCTTCCCATACCCCCGTTCGTCACCCCTCTCCCCCCCCTCTCCCCTCGCCCTCTCCCTCACCCCCCTCTCCTCGCCCCCCTCTCCCTCCCCCCTCTCCCTCCCTCCCTCCCCCCCCTCTCCCTCGCCCCTCCCCCCTCTCCCTCGCCCCCCCCTCTCCCTCACCCGCACCCAGGGGAGGCGTCCTGTGCTAGTCAGTCCCACCTGCGCGCCCTCAGCCCCCGGGTCGTCCCATCGGCGGGGGTCCTGTCTTTTTAACTAGCTGTAGGTTGAATGTTTCGAGATTTGGAATTTTTCATACCATACCATCGTAAGGTAATTGTCACTTTTTATATGCGCTTTATACATCAAGTAAAAAGTTGTAGTGTTTTTATCTTACAATGATGTTTGATCCAAATACAAAACGAATAAAAAAAAATGATATATATATACATACTTTTTGCTAAAGCTACTTTGTACTATTTTATGGTACTGTGCAACTCTCATACAATATACAAGCCAGTCGAGTGGGGTTTCACCTCGATGCTCTGTTGTACTTCTTCCTCTGTTGCGGTTAGCTACTGTGTGTCTGTCTGTCTGTCTGTCTTCACGAAGGGGACAAAGCGATAGAGAACCTTAGTCAACCCAATTGGCTAGTTATTTTTTTTTCTCTCCCCACACTCTGGTTTCAAGGAAGAACTCTCTCACCCACGCTCCAACCCCTACCCAACCCCATCCTTTCCCATTCCTCCTTCCCCCTTCCTCTCCTTCCTTCCTCCCGTCCTCTCCCCTTCCTTTTCCCTTCCTCTCCTCCTTCCTCCTTCCCCTTCCTTTCCCATTCCTCCTTCCCCCTTCTCCTTCCTCCCCCTTCCTCTCCCTTTCTCTCCCTTCTCTCCCTTCCTCCCCCTTCCTCCCACCCCTACAAAGAACTGTATTCATAGTGGAAGTATATTACATAAAAGTATATTACAGTGGTGTTTGAAGCGTCAGTTGGTATCTCGACGCACTGTTACTGGGCGAGTGCTAGTCATATGATGAAATGCTGTTACACCTCGTCTTTATGTGTGTCTGTATCAACGTTTGTGTTGTAGCTCTTAAAGGACACATTGCCAATGCTATCATCTAGTGGTTTAACAAAAAGTAAACAAATGCTGTTGGTGTATGTATCCCCTGGACAGCTGATCTTCTTCGCCTGAGCCACTATTCGGACACCCCAGCTAGTGAGAACCTCTTATTCGCACCTTCATTTTTAAGTGTGTTGTTATTTTGGTGTATTTTAAACACGTTTACCAATCTCTTGTATATTGCTTTTACTGTATAATCTCGAGAGTATTATTATTATTATTATTATTTTGGGGGGATCTTGTTCTTTCACAACTTTGGAAGTCAATTTGAAGACAAGAAAGAATAAAAACATGTAAGAGTGAAGATCAAGTGTTACATTTTAAGACACTTTTTTATATAAATTTGATTTCTGATTCTTCATTACGTCGACGCTTCTTTGCGCTCCTCAGCCAGTGTTCACGAAACCACCTTTTTTTTTTCTCTCTCGTCGTGAACCCCATTGTTATGTTAATAGTTGTGAACCATCTTCCTCATTTTCACTCATTCATCAGTGAAGGTTTACGCACAACGACCGCCAGAAGACTTAGAGATTGAAGAATATGTAATTCAAGTCTACTTTCAATGCAGTTTGTCATTTTTTTTCCACTCGAGTTTCGAACCCAAGGGCTATATTCCCCTGCAACGCCGTGTCGCCAGCACATGTCAAATGCATATATTTTTTTCTATTTTTTTATAATTTGTGTCTCGTTGTCTCTCCGTTTTATTTCGTTTCTCCTCTTTATCTCTTTGTGTCTCATTGTTTATTGGATCTTCTTTTATAACTTCTGTTCTCTCTCTCTCTCTCTCTCTCTCTCTCTCTCTCCTCTCTCCTCTCTCTCTCTCTCTCTCTCTCCCTCTCTCTCTCTTCTCTCTCTCCTCTCCTCTCTCTCTCTCTCTCCTCTCTCTCTCTCTCTCTCTCTCTCTCTCTCTCTCTCTCTCTCTCTCTCTCTCTCTCTCTCTCTCTCTCTCTCTCTCTCTCTCTCTCTCTCTCTCTCTCTCTTTTCGCTTTTTTAACATCCTTAATTTTTTTTTTTTCTCATGCTGCCTCCCCTTCCCGCGCTTTTAGAGTATTGATCTTACATTTTCTATGCCACTTGACTTGGGCGTTTTCTTTGTATGGATTCCGCCGTGGCTCGTCTGTCCTTGTGAAAGCATCTGGAAGACCCATCGCATTCCAGTTGTCTTTATTCGTTAATGACCGTGATTATCGGGAATTTGCTCTTTTTTTATTTCTGTTTATTACCGTCTCCTTCTTTCTCCTCCTTCTCATCTTCTTTACATAATCGTGAATTTGTTTTCTTTTATCTCCGTTTATCAACGGCTCCCTCCTCCTCCTCTTTCTCATCTACTTTCTCCTTCTCTTCCTCCTCCTCTTCCTTTTTCTCTCCTCTCCTCCTCTTCCTCTTCCTCGTCTGTTTATCCGTCTCTTCCTCTTCCTCTCATCATCTTCTTTCTCCTTCTCTTCTTTTCTTTTTCATTTTCATGTATGTTTTTTTTCGTGTACGTCTTTTCCCCGTTGCTCATGGACGTTTTTCCGTTGCTCTTCCCCCCTTTTCTCTTTCCTTTTCCTCTCCTTCTCTTCTCTCTCTTCTTTATTCCCCTTCCCTCTGTCCCTCATCCTTATCCTCCTATTCTTCTTCTTTCTT